AACGTAAAAGGGAAAACCACGCTGTTCCATAAATCAACTTAGAAAAGAGAAATCGGGCAGAAATTAAAATGCGCCTTCTGTTTCCGAGTATTATCCCCCTTCTGATGCGAAAGCTTCATCAGGCCAAGTGACTAAGTTACTGGGGTGGTTTGATCAACTACGTCAGTTTCAAGGTGAAAAGCCTTGGCCAGATTTCACTATCCACCCAACACATTGTTGATGCCATGAAGACAAAAGCTTTCTCGTGATGAAACGGCATCAAGTCATTAATTTTAATCAGTATCAGTAACTTGAGTTTAAACATCTTGTTCAACAGGCAGTCCGAAATGATTTTTGGCTTACATTGCCTGCTTAACTGAGTGTCGTACAAGTAACGTGGCAAACTAAAAACTTTGCACCGTGCACCAACAGACAATAATTTCGCGTTGATCTGTCTGGTGGACAATTTCAAGGTACTATCCATTATTAGTACGTTATTGGAAGCTAGCCGAGCTCTGGGGGTAGAGTAATTTGGCGAAAGTGGTAGTCCAGTTTAATTAAGCGGCATTCAAGTGTGTTAACGGTATTAACGACCAGATAGAGTAGCGTGAGTTTAAGTGGTTCTTATCCTCTATAAACAAAAGCAGTACTAATAACAATGGCAAGCGTTCATATGCAACACCCTTTCGCCGCATAGCTGTCATGCCAGCCAACGGTGGCTAATATACTGCCAGGTGGCCCAACCCCAGTTGAGATGCCTAGTTTGGTTTCGGACCGTGGACTTTCTGGTCGAAAACTCGATTGTGTTCTACCATATCCTTAACCAAGCCCAAAATCACGTTCTAGGTGGAAAACGTTTACCCCCCGCATCGGTACAGTAAAAGGGCCGTCTCCTGATGAACTCAGCCAAAGACTGCGTTCACAGACTCAGAAAAGACTAACGCATCAAGACCATCATTGGACAGATGAAAGAAATTTAAATATACATTTGGTGTGCATGGTAGTAGAATAAACAGACTTTGAAAATCACGGGTAGATATCGATCGATTGCAAAAGGTAGTGGCGACGGGACATGCACTAGAGATTTAAACCGTGGACTGATAACGTCACAACGATCAATGACCAGAACGCTATAAGTCGTGAATCATTCTGGAAAGAATAGAACAAAACTGGTAGAACTGGTCAGTGTGTGAACAGCGGCCCTAAACACGCGGTCGTGTTTGGTCACAAGTAAAGATTGAAACCAAATTCCGAAACAGGATTTAAGTTATCTTTAAAGACACTTTTGGTTGTCTTGAAATTTCACAAGGTATTGTTTTAGAATACTGTGAAGTTGGCAAGCATGCTTCAACAAAATTACTGATGTTTTGCTTCTTTGGAATAAATTGGCCAAGAGCGGATAATTCTTTGGAGAAACCAAAGAAGGCTAGTGTTATCTTTTTGTTGTACTATTCAGTGTGGTCCACTTAGGCCTCAAAATATTTGCAATCTTTTATACCCCACAGGTTTCGGTGACTAACCAGACAAAACTTTCTGCTTAGTCACCGGTGTTTGGATGGTTGTCGAAATTGGAGAGCAGCTAAGGGGAAACGACGTATAAACCGATTGGAGAATTTTTGACTCCAATCCAAACTGTTAATCAAATGGTCACGTGCTCGATTTCTCCACACACAGCTGTGACGGCTTTGGGGTTCTGCACTTTTGGATCTAACCATACACTTATATGTAGACAGTCCATCTATGGTACTTAGAACTCTCATAGTGTCGCTTTACTAATTATCGCCCGGTCTACTCCACTGAGGAGGCCTTGCTTGTTATGGATTCCTATTACAAATTTTTACCACACTCGAGAAAACACCTAACTCAAAGAATCCTCAGAGTAGGTTGATTTCTAGCTTTTTGTTAGTCTCGGCAGACCCTGGTTTCGTACCTTAAAAAACTGTACTGATGTTAAAGACTAGACAGATCTTTCTCCGTATGTGCTGTTTTCACCCCGCTAAATATAAGGATGCGTACAGTTTTTGTCTATGTAAGAGCACTAGTTGGCTGCTGCCTGCTAACCAGATTTCACCCTTCTCACCTGTCCCCTTAGTGGTTGCTCTGGACGCACCATACTCCTGCGGATAGATTCCACAGAGCATCCAATAAATATTCATTTCTTGTAACTCGATGCATGCCTTGATATTTTCAGCCATAAATACCTCTCCCTTTCTGGCTGAAAGCCGAATCGAAATCATCTACCAGACCCGATGCAAAGTCTGGCATGTTACTAGCTCTTGGTCCAATGGAAAGTTACACTAGTGTTTATTTGCGGCGCCTGGGAAAACAATGCTCGCCAGTTAAAATGAGCACACTATCATCTTAATGTTTGTTACAACACTGCCGCTACGGTTTGATCTTTGAGAGTACTATCCTGCAGCTACCTTCACAGCTGGGATCAACAGTCAACGTGTTGTCCCCATCGACCTGCATACTCATAAATCACTCTCACATGTTGCCACATGCTGACAGAGGTTTGATACAACCGCAGATCCGTTATAAATTTCCGCCCAGGACCCCTGTGATCAGTGCAGCGAAAAATGTAAATTCAGTAGTACAGGCGCAAACCCCTGCTTCCTACACTGAGAATTGTCGATGCCCCCGTGTTTCAAAATTTGTAATGTTTTACACTACTGGCGAGTAGGCGTATCTCATAATCTTTTCTACGCTGGACGCAAACCGGTCCTAAATCTCCGAAGGCCTGTGGTTAGAATTCGCACTTCACCAAAGCATTTTCACAGCCCAGTTTCTCACTTAGGTTTGCATACAGGGCATTGAATTATATTGCTCGATAAGTCCATGCATTAAATGAACTAAAATCTGTGCCCTTGCTCGTTTCATGGTCTATCGTTTCGATAAAAAGCCCTCCGTACTAAAACACAGTGTAGACGCAGTTGAGGGCTTTTTGAACTTGTGGTTATTTCCCCCTCTTGGAATACGCGAGTTTTATTGTGCTTAGTGAATCTCTGTTCAATTTAGTGCAAGCAAACCTTCAGTTTAAAGGCGCGACTTGTTGATACGCCATACTGATGTGCAGGGAGTCGTGTTGTTGGATTATTCATTTATCCATAAAACCGTCGATAATGAGGTGAGAGATATGAGAAGCGAACCTATATATTATCCGGCGACCCTGTTCGGTATTCATTCTCCACCATTTGCATGACGTCTATTTGACAAATGGACTGATGTATTTTTGCAGAGTCACTTATCCCATACTTTTTTACATTTTATTGCATGTGTGAGCGTTTGCACCTTCATTGTAGTGAGCAGTTAAATAGTACCAAAGTCAAGCAAAATGTCTAGTCTTCGCAATGATTCCTAGGATTCTCGAGTTTCTTCACGCTGCTAACAATCTATAGGTAGAACAGAGGAAGCATGAGGTTTACCCAACTAGTGAAACGTCCGTTGCCCGAGGAGTCCGTCAGCACATTTGACCACGTGAGGTGAATGAAAGATGAGCGGTGCTATTTCCTGTCTAAATACGAGTTAATCAAGCTTTCGATCGAACGCTCCTGATCGAACAGTCATGTGTTCAGACCACGGGTCACGGGTTCGAGACTTCTTAGGGTTTCGTGAGATACACACTGCTGATGACTTGCAATAAGGAAGCCTTAGGAATAACTTTGATGCGTTTGGATCAGGGATGAGAATCGGTTTTGGTTGTGTATCCAAAAACGCACCTGTGGAAATGAGTTCGACTACGATATGTCCAAGAAGCGCAAGAAAAGCGTTTTCATGGCAAAGAGCTGAGCAGCTGGTGGATACAGTCTAGTCTAGCGCCACTGTGCGGTGCTATACCGTCCTGAATTGACCAGAGAGTACTTCAGGAACTATCTGAAGCCTGCGGCTTCACAACGGGTATAGCGTCGCGCTGTTTGGGTTGTGAATAATGGAGCTTTGTATCATTATCCTTGTTCTCAGTCCCTCTACCTTCTCACGTAACTGCCCCATAGACTGGTGACAGGAACACCATTCCACCCATCTCTTATCCAGTTCGTCGTATATATTCTCCCCTCCTCATCTTATCTCTATCTATACAACTTGATAAGACCTCATCAGAGACAAGTTAGTCAGGTCAATGAACAATCGTCATGTGACCTATAACTGAAAAAATGCGCCCGTTAATTGGGAAGCCAATTGTAGTTGCATGTAAGGTAACCATGATAGGGAAAGGCATCCGCTGGTTAAGAAGTGATCAAAACAGCGATGAAGAAGAACGAATTATGTAGCCGAATTACCAGGAAAAACATGCGACAGTTATTTGTTACAGACCCGACATTCTGCTTAGCCGTGAGGACATTTAGGAGCTCATTTGGTGCCTCTGTTCAGGAGACCGAAATTTCTGGCTTCCATGCTCTAAATTAACAACATATAACCTTTAGTAAAATGCACATAGAGATGGTATGGCAAAGATATACAAATAACATATGTATGTATGTATGTATGTATGTATGTATGTATGTATGTATGTATGTATGTATGTATGTATGTATGTATGTATGTATGTATGTATGTATGTATGTATGTATGTATGTATGTATGTATGTATGTATGTATGTATGTATGTATGTATGTATGTATGTATGTATTCATATATAACATATACATATAACCAGTTTAGAACAAATGACTGAATCAGATATTGGGCTCTGTTTAGCATTTCCCAAGGATTTTAGTTTAAAAGTAAACCACAAGGTTTTAGCAAATTTTCAATGAAGGTCTCCAGTAACAGGCAACACATCTGATATCGATTTAAATCCCGATAAAAAAAGACCGTTTTCATCCCCGTGTGGACATGGGTGATAGCGGCAAACGTTTTGGACAAACATTTCCGTAAAAAAGTATTTGGAACTTATTGAAATAATTACTGGAACAGCATTCGTTCAACTAGTCAACGTTCGGAAGCTGCGAACATTTACACCACTTACTTGATAACTGTGGCTGGAAGTTAACAAGACACTATTCTCGCTTCGTTCTTTTAGTGTATCGCGTTTGGTCAACAGGATGAATGGGTAAGTCTCTCTGGGCAACTTATATTCAATCGCAACAGGGTTGACTGTTTTCTGTACGTTATGTTAGTGCTATTGTCTTTTACTCGAAGTAATATCAGAAGGTGAATAACACCGACAATAAACAGTTTTGTATAGTGGTTACCGGAGACACTATTACAATTGAATAATACACAAAAAGGAAAGAGACTTATCGGGTTCTTCGGTTGATAAGTGATAGTAGATGATGCCGAGGTTTGTAGGACGCAGTTGAATTGAATGCGGGTCTTGATCGAGCATGTTTGTTTCTTGTCGTTTAATCCAAAACGATATCGAGCCCAGACTTTTCCTGCACAGTGAGTCGTGGTTGTTTGTCTTAGGATAAGATTCCAGTAATCTCGGTAGGTCGTGGGGCGAAATGTTCATGACGTAATCCGAACAGGAGTGAAACAGTGGGTGTGCATGCGTTAAGCAGATTATGTGAGTGGATGAAGGTAAACATTGATGAGATAGTAACCGAACTGTGAAAGTGGTTGAAGATAAAGGTTGACGAGATGGTAACCAAACTGGTAAAGTGGTTGAAGATAAACGCTGAAGGGATGGTAACCAACGGTTATATTTGGCTTTCGTAAACGTTTCTTGTCGTCTCCGTTAAATTTGTACGTACCATACGTATGTATATACGTATATATGTATGGTTACCGTATGCACACATCTAGAAGCGGCCTACAGGGCACCGTGGGGTACTCAACCAGAAAAAGTTAGTATCCTAATTTGAGTAAGAACTTGTCTTGCTAATGGGTTACTTGGTCTCTGGAAGTGTGGTATACTTTGGGTCGCATGTAGCATGGCATCCTGAAATGCACACAAATCAATCAATCAATCGTTTAGCTGTAGCGCCCTTCCGGTGCCTAGCTGCCATGCCACCAGAAAGAAGCGCGGAGGCTGGGATACTGCCAGGTTGCCCAAGCCTAGACGTAGCGCCCTTCCGGTGCCTAGCTGCCATGCCACCCGAAGGAAGCACGAGGGCTGGGATACTGTCAGGTTGCCCAAGCCTAGACAGGGGAATTCGAGAGGCAGAGGTCAGGTTCGAACCACGGACTTTCCGGTCAGTAAATTCGCGCTCCGCTCTAACCAGACGGTGCAAGAAACGCTCACTTTTTAGTGCTTCTTCAACTGCGACCGGACTGTCACCAATTCAAGCAGGAATTAGGGTTGATGGAAACTGGTGAGCTCAGAGAGTGTCAAAACCGGTAACTGAGCTGTCGAGAAACTTTCAGTGACCTTGCAGTCATTGTTCGGTCAAGATTTTTGTGCGATTTTTCGCACACAAACAGGCAGGGGGAGAACGAAGTACACGCAATCAACGAAAAATTGTTACTAACTTGACCGCAGACAGGTCATTGAAGTCGGAATATATATCCAAAAACGGAAGACACCTTCTCCAGCTTCACCCAGGGATGCACGTGAACTTGCTCAAGGCATGTTCACAGATTCACTAAGCACAGTAGCGCTTGTACATTATTGGACGTGATATATTTCATAGAGAACGCTACCAAACCGTGCTTACGAATGCATGGATGGCGAAGATCTCCAGGAACTTCCAATTCCTCCTCCATTACATAAACAGAGCGCTTGTCACGTTTGATACCACGTGACCATCATCGTCCATCATCGGTCGAAATCATTCTCATTCAAGTGAGATTACGTTTCCACAAGCTTGAAACTGTCTAGGCGATGCCACAGCTGATTTCACATATTCCAAAAAAGTCACCGGATGAGCGCTGTACGGAAAGTTGTTCAGTGTGAGGACTATTCCCGCACACACCTTGGAAATCCTATCCCTTGAAAAATGGGATGGTTGATGCTTGGCGGTCACAGCTGCTTGAAGTCCGCCGACTTTTTTCTCATGCTCCAACGACAGGTTCAGTTCAAAACTTCGACAGGCTATTCACAGGGTGCTTTATTGTGATTCTGTGTCTCACTGACACAAATGAAAAACCACTGAGAAACTTCAGATAAGTTTGAAATTGGCCCGTTAACATTGTTCATACATGTTGGTTTCATCACGCCAAGAAATTCTCAAACTTTTGCTGTGGTGGGTCATCATATCCTTCTGTTCAAACCTGGTAACCGCTTTTGTTTCGAGCGCACAGCAGAGGACAAGCTGTTTCCGTTATTACCCTTTATCTGCAACCGAGGGGAGAACACAAATTAATCTCACAGTGTGGTGTCCACCCCTTGATCGTTTCATTTATATTCTCCAAAGGAATTCAGTGCTTCAGTTCTTCAACTGACCACCTCTCCCAAGCGTATGCAAGAGGCGACTGCTACGAGGTTTCTTGCCTTGGGCTATGCAGGATCCAGAATCGTTGACAGCATAAAATATGTCTCATCTGCGGTGAAACGAAATACTTCTCCCAAGTAGATAAAATGTTGTTTTTTATTCGTAAAAACAAACAGTGAAGTGGCGGTATTTCGTGCTATAGGTCAAATGCAAGTAGCTAGTTCACTCACGCCTAACACACAGGAGTTGACTGCTTTGAGTAGAAGAATGCCACGATAAAAAAAACGTCAAAAAGGAACACCCCACAGTTTACTTTGAGTCAACTAGTCTAAGGCCAGGCTCTTAGTGGTTGGGATTCTGCTCAAAAACATGGATCTGAGTCGACGTACCTTGGCAGCATTGCGTGCCAGATATCAACTAAAGATTCTTGTTTATCAATGTGTCAGCTACTGTGTCAACTTGCTGATCAACAGCTCCCTGATGGTCAACAAAATTGTGTACAGCTTCACTCATTGTTTCCTGCTGCATTTATCCGTTTGGAAACCTGGGGTAGAAACCAGACTAGCGTTGGGCTAAAGTACCGCATATGAGGTGCACCAGCCGTGAAACCTGAGCACATAGCTCAGGATATATGTGCACTACCCCTAGAATAGCAATGATTCAATAATATGTCATCAACAGAGTGTCTTGTGGTTGGTCTGACCGGAAACTAAATACAAATAACCTTTCCCTACATATCACAAGTAAGCTTAAGTTGATAACCTCTTCTGCTTCGTCGAGCCCGGAAGCGACCATCTGTTAATACGACGAGGCCACACTTGATCGCATGTTCTGTCTTTATTTCATGTTACTAATTAATTTGCGAGTAGTAAGAATTAAGGGACACAACTGTCGGACAACCTAGTTTCCAGGCCGTCTAACTTAGCAGATGGGTGCTCCTGATCCCTTATAGCTATCGAGCTAACTTGTTCGCCAAAATTCACCTCATTAAAAAATGTTACTACTCGAAATACCTTACATCTGGCCGGTAAATGAAAAAATCTGTTTGGTAGTGTGTAAGACTTTCCTCAGCTTGACTTGATCTGACTCGAATAGTCCAGCAATCGGAAAGGCGACACGAAGGAATTTGGCGCGTTGTTTTCCTGAACGACCATATGATCACCATAGACGAAGCATAGACCCTGATTGGACACACGCCTCTTAACACGAAGTACCTTCTTTAGTGGCATTCAGGTTTTCAGGACGTCTTATCCTCAATCAAATATACTCTCAGTTTATGTGACGCTAAGATCATTATCCGTATTCACCCGAAGACATTACACACCATGTTGACGAGCATCAGACACCTTTGCCTGCTAGGCGACTTCACCTCCCGTTCTCTTTTCACAAACTATATTTTAGGAACGCGAGCGAGATGGTGAGTCAAAACTTTTATCAGATTAATCTCTTGTGTTTTCGTTTGAATGGGTTTTATTCTCAACTTCACAATACTCATTTCAAAACTGCATGCAGTGAGCTGCCAAAAAGCTTTAAACAGCCCGTTTCTCTCAAACTCAAGAGCGGAAAACGTCTAAAGCTTCTTTGGTTGTTTATACATTCTAAAATAGTCACAGTACATAGCGCCCAACTCTCCCTCTAGTGTGCTAAATTAAAATGAACTTCGGCTGTTTACTTCGGTTCCAAATATTTCGTCTGCTTTCTTCTTTACATGAGCATACACCCACCAAGGCTCATCATAAACAAGACTGCGGAACTGCGATTGTTATTCAGTGTAGCCAGGAGTTTATTTGTCTCGATGCCGTGGGTTTCAGCGAAATTCACTATGAAACCGGAAGAATTATTTCATCCTACTTCCAGTTTGGAAAGATACCAGTGAGAGAACTGAGCCAAACACCATCTTTTTTGTTTCTACAACCTCAGAGTATCATTTACGACTGGACCCAAAAATAGTCGTTATTGTATACCTTAGAATGTCCACCAATTCCCATCTCGAATGTTTTCCCCTCACCCATTATGCACCAGAAACGAAAATTTATACAGCGCTCTATACAATATCCACATTGACCGTCCCCTCAAAGGATCCGGGCCACTGGACGCCTGAAATGTCGAAAGACAAGTGCCCTTTAAGTTCGGCGTCTGCGCGTATAGTACAACCAATATGTCGTACTGATTCTCCTGGCTCTTTTGTGGTCCAGCAGCCACAGCGTACTTCAGCAGCAATATTGCACTGCTGACGATAACTCTGACGTTTTAAACTAACGCAACGTAGGTAAAAGAAACACTCCGCCTTTCGCCATCTCGCCACTGTGAAACAATCCTTCCATGCTGTTTTTGCAGCGAAAAACTATCTACGCTTTGATAGTTCTGAAGCCTTTTTACGATGTTTCTACCTTCAGTTCGCAGTAGTGGGAACCAAATAAAGTATTACTAATGATCCCACAACTTTCTACCGATTACACTAAAGTTGTCCTATGCTGAAAACAAAACAAGTAAGACAACTAAACTCATTTGGATACCAATTTGGTTTTCATGGCAGACTCGCCTGAAGCTTAGCTGAATTTCTCATTTGTGGTGTTCTTGAACAAGTGAATATGCTGCACCATACCGTCTCAAGTTACACTTGTTACGATATATGAGATAACCCAATACATTCCGTAGATACGGCGCACTGCTCGTATGGTCGAAAAGTTTTCAGCAACCTTGTAAGTAGTGGGATTCGTCTATAGAAATGGCATGGGCATGCTAAATACGCAGCCTAAAGTTGTGGAAAAACTTGAAAAAATAATTAGACTTACTGTAGAAGTGTTATTCTTCCGCATTCTGGAACAGTGAAGGTTATTCTCACCAGATACACTTCCCCAAACGAGGTCTAATAGAGCTTCCTTAGTTTTTTCTTTGAAATTTGCGCGGAATTAGGTATAAAAAAACGTAAAAATTTGATGCACCAAAAGCTGCCAGATAAAGCACAGAATACTTCAAGTGATTTTTGGGAAGCTTTTTCACGGGTATTCATCGGAAAGAGTATGAATTTCGATTTTGTTGGTGCGAACCGCTTTCGATTAGTTAATGCAAATCAGTCAGTTTCTTAGGGGCGATTTTTCAAGACGACGAATACGTCACGAATAGCTCACGGCACTCATAAACAACTGACATGCTTTTCGAGAAATACACTCATTTGGGTTCAAGTAGAACATAAGGTTGACGGAAACTCGGGGACTGCGCCTACCTGATGAGCCCGAACTGGAAGGGCGAAACAGATCATGGGCTGTCGAAGAGTTTTCAGCAAACTTGTGAGTGGCTTCCTTCATGAAAATTGACATGCTCGTTCCAAGTATTACACCCTCTTATATCAACCGAAATGGTCAAGACGATCGCTTTTTTGTGAATTCAGGGTTATTGAAACTAACGGAAGTAATAGCTAGAAAGGTTTGGTAAACACTCGTGCCTGCTGCTTTACAACAGCGTTTAAGTTAACCCTCTGGATCCTCTAAGAGAACCTCCAGCTGTGAATGCCACTGTGATTTCACCTATCGTATCCGAACAGGAAGGATGGAAAGAGCGCTTTGTCCAGATTCGCTCGTCAAGCTGCAATCTCCAATAGATGCTTGTGGGAATGTCATGGCCTAGTTCTCGAGGTCGCCCCTAAATGCACAGTCGCTGAGCAGCAGTTTCCGTTGCGCATGGTGATGCATGCAGAACTGCACACATATATATCACACATACATGTAGAAAACCACTGTTTGGGAAAGTGTGCTAGTCAAGCACGTCCATCGTGCAGATAAAGCACTTATATTTAAGTGACTGTGGGAAACTTGTGGCCTCATTCCTGAGGTCGTGCTTGGCCGCACACCTGCGATTCCGTGGGCCGGTCGCTGAACATCTTGTGGTAAATCGGGGGGTACGGAATATTGGAACGAATCATTCGGCAGTGAACGATAAGCAAGGGCATCGCAACAAGAAATTGCAAACAAGTGACATGCGAAGAGATGGTAAATCGTAACCTCGTTTGAGAGTTTTCGGACGGGTTCTTGGCCGTATTTGGTTTGAAAAATGAAAAGTATGTCAAACTCCACTGCTCACAAGGTTACTGGAGATTCTTCAACAGCCCACGACCGGTTTCGCCTTTCCTGGGGCTCATCAGGTAGGCACAGTTCCCAAGGTCCCATTAACCTTATGTTATACTTGAACCTAAATTGCACGAAATTAGCGAGACACGTTAACTTGCAAAACAAGTTGGATTTGCAGGAGGCTCACCCGGAAACCAGTTGAATCTCTCGTTTATGATGTTCCGAGTGAGTCCCGCAAAACCAAATTTGTTGCCAATGAGTGTATTTTGCTCACTTAGTGCAATTTGGGATCAACTAGAACATAAGGTTGACGGAAACTCGGGGATTGTGCCTACCTGATGAGCCCCAAGAAGGGTGAAACCGGTCGTGGGCTGTCGAAGCATCTCTAGCAACCCTGTGAGTAGCGTAGAAGCTGATTTGTCAGATGAGCGGTTGAGCGATATATCGGAGTATTTTGCTGTATCTCTTTAGTTGCATATAACCGATAATTGAAAGGTAGATACAAGGATCTTTACAGTCTGGATCTCGGAAGCAAGGCGATCAGTGAAGAAGTACCAACAAAGGGACCGATTCCTTCTGTTCTGGTTTCCCTTCTCTAATAACAATGGATTCAGCAGAGTGTGGCAAGTGGTCTTGTGTGTGATGTAGAACGCGTATGTCGAACTGACACAACTCGCACTCTCAAGGAACTGACGGACTATCGATGAAGCCGATGCAAATTTGCACTCGTTCCTAAGTTTGGAGCTCTCGTTGAGCACGGTTGAACGCAGTGATTCATAGATCACATCGTCGAAACTGGGATGCCTTCCGCCTGTTTAAGTCAAAGTCGCCTTCCAACTAAACCGAGGTAGACGGCCGATTACTTACGCCTAAAAGGGTAAACCACTTTGCAGATTGGAACTATGAGTGCAGGGATCGACATTCGGCTATATTTGTAGATGACTATAGGTTAAGCAGTGTATTTAGTAGGTTTGTTTAATAGCTGCTGCACCACAGTACCGATATCACCTTGTGTGACTTTCAAATTCAGTGAAACTGCTACTTTTTGGGCTGAATAGATCGACATTGTCTTTTACCGAAGCTTGATAAACTAAATTTTGACATCTTAGTGATGAAGGCTTGTTCAGTTTTATTAATTCATCTAATATTGTTCGGTAGTATTCAGTCGAAGCGACATATACACCCGGTGTGTCATTCATTTCTGTGTAAGAGGAAAAGCACATTTCAAGAGTGGGTGGATCTTGTAAGCAGATTCGTAAAATACACTCTGGCGACAGTCACTGTGTCATCATTACGGCAGGTTTTCTCCTCATCGATCCTCTCAATACCTAACCAAGCGATCAATAAGTCCGTCGCTATTCCACATTTGCGCACCTTACACATTTGTTCTTCTCCTGGTCGGCCAAGAATGACACCGTGGCGCTGAATCTCCAATGTGTGATCTCGCGTTTGCCATGGTGTTTGGTTTCAACCGCCACCACTGCGCGTCGGTGACTTTAGTGGAGCGGCAAAGAAAAAGTATGCCGCTAAATTGCTTCAAAGACAGAAATTTCCGCTTTTATGACTGCCAGATTGGTGGCACCGCCAATCCAACCACACAGTACGATGAGAAAAAGGCCATTTCAGCTTGGTGAATACAACTTCAAAGATATCCGGTGCTTGACCGACTCGGGGGTGCATATGTGCGCCTTTCTTTTCCGTACATAATTAGTGTCAACGTCTGGCATGCGCACAAACAACCGAGCCTTCGTATACACACGCACCCACACGCGCCGACACGCACACACACACCACACAAACACAAGAGCAAATAGTTTAAGTTGGCACTAGCGGTACTTTTGATGTAGATCAAAGGCATAAAAGCGCCCTTTGTAGCGCGTATGAGACAGAGCGAAAGACACACAACATTGCCTAAAGCTAGCGAACTTGCCATTTTGTACTCTCTTGCCGCCGCTTGCACGCGGGTGATTTTGATCTGGCCAAAGGCAGTAAAAATTTATGGAACCCGGTTGGTACCGGGTTGTTAAGGTTGATGGGCTACTACTTGGTGGCAGATGAAATACCGATACGTTGCGAATAAACATCTGTGCCCCATAGGTTGCAAGCCACAAGCGCACAACAGCATTTTTCCATGTTAGGCGCGCTTCGGTTGATTAATGAGAAACGGTCATCGTTGGAATAACTGTGCTACTGCTGAAGTTGGATAACTGGAGAACGCCCTGTTTGGCTGCAAGTGTCTTTCTATGAATTATAGATTTTTTTTAGTTTTTTGATTGTCCGTAGACAACTAATTTGAATCGTCAAGGAAATGCCTGCACTTACACAACAGATAAAGTCTGGCACTGGGTCGAATGAGTAGAAAAAAGTACAGGCGTTCAGTGCACCCATGAGATTAAGCGGTGTTTGTGGACCCGATTAACGCGAATCATGATTCGTACAGGTCGATTTGTTACATTATCACCGATCTCTGCAAAAGCTTCAAACTTCCTTTTTCGAAAGCGAATCTGCCAGTTGAAAAACTAGCCTTGTTAACGTCTTGGTCGTATCATTACTCATTACTTCACGTGACGCAGTTTAGTTCATTATTCATCCCCGTCAGCTTGTAACCAGTTATTCAGAATAACAGTAACTAGTGCAAGTTGTGACATGCTTGTTTGGTCTCCAAAGGCATATCTTGAACTAAAATCAGTATTTATAAGAAACTATTTTTGTGTACACAAAATACAACCACAGTCCAGAAAACAATGTGCTCATCAGATGGTATTTGTGAAGTTTAGCATTCATTTGCGAACTGAAGCCGTGAAACGCGCTTCAACCGGAAACGCGGTTCTGAAGTTGTCTCCGGGTTCAGGCGGGCCGACATCCAGGAAATCGAAGCAGTTGAATGGACCCACCATTTGGGGTTTGTCTGCCAACAGTGAATGGATCGCGGGATGCCTACACATAGATATGCTTATGCAACTGGCTTGTACAGTGTCAGATATGCCACAGCATGTGAGTTCATAATATCGATGGGAAAACCAGTAGGATAAAACAGTTGAGTAAATATGCAGACATCTTTTGAAGGCCACCAGGAGGCCCAAGTATGGCGACCTTGCGGAGAGCACCAGCACCGCATTGGACAGTGAAATATTTGTATCAGCGATCAAATCCTCCACATTTCAGTATGGGACTTCACTTCTCTCGCACAGCATTGTAAGACGATACCCGCGGCGAAGAGTTACAAGTTATCTGCTCAGAATTAAAGCGGTCTTGCCAAAACGTTCCGTTTCCGAACCGCCGCAATATCATTACGTTCTATAACGTTTATTAAAGCGCTCTCAAAAGTCGAACCGTTATATGAACTTACCAGTGCTGGAAATTTAGTGCCGACTAGTCTAGTGTTCATGTTTGATATCCAAAAGGCACCTATCGTTGCGCCGATCAATCTAAGTACGTCTTACGACCTGAAAACGAAACTGACACAAGTATACCCGTTTTACTCAAGTTTTGGTCTCCCCCGGGATTCAAAAATTTCGCCGTCCACATAGCGACTGCTGATAATGCGACTCCAGAGTTGTTTCAATTCTACACTCATCTCCTTCTGAATGGTCCCTGCTTTCAGTTCCGGCCATCCCAGAGAGAACCCGACATTATGCAAGAACTGAAGTTGACGCCTTTTTCAGTCCACATCTCTTCCGTACAAAAGCACGGACAACATGGTGTTTTTTGAGTCTAACTGCTCATACCGTTTGTTCTACATTTGTTTCAGAAATCCACCGAGTGCACGCTTAGCTTCAGTATTCACTAACCTGGTCCCTTTTCACTTCTTCCAGGCTGGTTAGCAAACCGCTTTTAAAGAAATCTCATTACAATTGCCGTCTATCCATCTGTTTACCAAGCTTTGCGGTTGGACTGCAAACATTTCGCAACCATCTGATGAAAACTAAATTAGTGCGTGCCCTTTTCCAAGAAAGCAAGCCGTTTAGATATCTTCATTTGAATCAAAACCGAACTTTATAGACACCAATCTTGTCAACATTGGCTGCAGTTTTTTGGAGTAGTATGCAAATAAAACACGATGATCACAAAAAGCAGCATATGGACCTTTGATTTGTGTTTGGCAGGAAAACGCTTTAAATTTTACAGGTGATCATCCGGACGATGCGAAATAGTTACAACTAAAGGTTAAAATCTCTCTTCACTTGTTGCAGTTGGACATAGACTAGACAAAGCGGGCGCGATCGTATAACTCTATTAACATCAAAATCTGCAAAATTAGTTTCGTAGGCCTAAATTATCACTTTGACAAGCTTAAAAAATTGGTTCGGGCAACTCGACATTCAAAGAATGTCTCGCATTAGCAGTTGGTCAGATGGTTGTTGCTCTGTTCGCCGAGCTGGTCAATTGATCCGGCGAGAACATCGACGTCCCCCCTGATCAATTATTAAAAATGCACCAGAGCTATCGGCAGGTTGCAGGCTGGTTCGTAATTCTTCACAGTTTATTGGTCCAAAAGCTTTCGTGAATCAGCTGATATTAGCTTGAGCAACGGCGCACAGAAGTTGGTCTCGCTTATGATTCTTCCTTTCTGCCTATTTCACTGTAAAATGTAATTCACTACAAGCAGCATACTGTTCCTTCGAAAAGGATCCAGAGTGAAAACCCGAATGTTTCTAGCATCTCAAAGTAGACTAACTCTGTGATAATACTTACATGCTGTCAGCCTCCTTCCCCCATGAATAATGGCAACCGTGTAACCATGTGAGACATTCTTAGCCTACCAGCCTAAATTGTTTTGGGGTGAATCCCGTCCTGATGTTCCCGTTTAACTAATATGAGCAGTCTGACGAGTGATCCGTTACTTTGGAGGTCTTTTCATTTAGCATCTACCCAATTGCTGTCTGTGGTTCTTTTGAGGTGCGAGGATACTCCTACGATTTTACTATTTGCTGATTTATTATACCTCATCCGACTTCCAAGAGTGTGTTGAACATTTTGGAGATGGGAGTCCTTGCTAGATTTGATGACCCTCAGACAGGTTCACTCGCTTCCGAATGGTCGATGGCGCCAGATTTTTTAACCGTACACCTTTCGTGGTACTCCAAAGAGCGTGGCAGGTCTGATAACATCTTTTTATTTACTTTTTGAGTTCTCATGTACCGTAATATGTAAACTGTAGAGGCTATTGATTTCAGGTTAGATTTCTCCATAACTGAGGTTACATTCATTCATATTTGACCCAGACAATTGGATATTGCCACAGAAGAATCTACATTTGTGATAAATCCAAAATATACGGGTACCGCTAACGTAAAAAGACCTTGAAACTTCATATTCCCAAATCTTGGTCTTGGAAAAGTATATCAGTCCCGCTCTCTTCGTTCTGTCAAGTGCTTATTACTGTCGATTTTCTATTCCGTTTCCACAACAGTTGAAGATGCCTGTGCGAACGTGAAGTGTAGGCAAGGGGAGTGGTGCAACCAGGGACGCTGCGAATGCTTGGACACTTGTGCGTCTGATTGGAACAACTTTGACCGAAAAGTAAGACGATGTTTTTGGTACTCTGCTTAGTCTTCGTGATGTAATTCCCACTAACCTATCTGCTTGTTTTGAGCCCAGATAAGTGATCAGTAGACTCTTGGTTCTTGGAACCCGCGATAACTGCAGCTAAATTCATTGACTCTGTAAGCTTAGAGAAAACCGAAGATTTTGACGTAGCTTTTGTTCAAACGAAATTAAATTTCGGGTTTTATGTGTAAAATTCACTACGACGGGGTCAGTTAAAATGAGCTTTGTGTAAAATTGATGGCTTGGCAAGATAACGAGCGATTAGCGATACAGTTTGCTCGTCATGAACAAAACCATCGAGCCGGTGACTGTGTTGTAAATTCCTACAAACTAGTGCATAACAGAGCGCTCCTCCATGAGTATCCGACGATCATGGTGGAAACCAGCCGAAGAGGTGCGTAAGAAGCTGGTTCCGCTGAAAAGGATCAACCCATGCACCAACCAAACTTCTCACTTCATCGGTTAGTCAGGTCGGCCGGTTCTTTGTGACTGACACACGTGTCGGCGCTTGTAGGTCTGCATGATTTGATCCTGGTCGGCCTAAGAGAAGACCTTCCAGGTCCGACATTATTGAGGTTTAAAGCAAATTATGATAGTATTACTCCGAAAATTCAGAGTTTATAATTGTCTTTCGTATGAATAAAGCACTTATCTGAAACATTTACAGATTTTTTAGGGTTTCTAAGTAGTCTCTCGCATATGATCGATCTCTGGAGACAAGACACTCAAATCGTCCATTCAGGAAACTTGCAATGATGTGCTTTTCAGCGGGACTTTCACAGTAAAATGTTATCGCTTCTGTGCAATTGCTCACCGCAATGGGATGCAAGGTGCTCAAAATGTATAACCTCTATCGGGTCGGCTTCAATTCGATTAACCTATCAAACTTATTTCAAAGCTATCTACTCAATAACCCAAGCACAAAGGCTGTTTACATACCTCCGTTTTCCTTGCATGTGACTCTTCGAATTGATTTTTTGATATGAAATTCGCGAGTGGATCCACACACCAAAATAAACAAGATTAGCTCACAATATTTACTAATAACGCATGGTAATTGGTTGCTTGGAAAAGGCCATGCCTGAGAACATCACAAACGAGAGATTCAGCTGGGTTCCAGGTGAGCCTCTCGAAAAAACAAATTAGTTTGCAAATGAGTGTATATTCGCTAATTTCGTGCAATTTGTTTTCAAGTAGAACATAAAGTTGACGGAAACCTGGGGACTGCACCTACCTGATGAACCCCAAAAGAGGGCGAAACCGGTCGTGGGCTGTCGACGGATTTTCAGCAACCTTATGAGTAGTATATAACAAAGGTCGTCTCTTCTTGCTCAGCTTTCAGAAGATTTCGGTTGACTAATTCAAACCTTCAGCAACCTTTACGACAAACAAACTCCCAGCGCTAGCTCCATCACTTGTTTTTACTTGGTGTGAAGACGCCCTGTCTAGTTCCGAATAGTCAGGTTGTCAGGTCACACCAATGCACCACGATTGAATGTTGCAGCAGAATTAGCTGAGTCGGTAGATCGACCTTATTGAATCAACCTCTTCATTGAAAATATCCCACAGTTTCACCTATTTGGGGGCTAAAGTTCAGTTGGCTTTGAAGAATTTGGGGTGGCATAGGTTAGCGTGGAGAACCAACAGCGTTTTCCTCGAATTAGCCACAGCACATTGTGGTGTGAACCCATTGCGTTTTTCAGTAGTATGTGTATACTAGGCCAAAATCAAATTTACAGAACAAAAGATCCGAATATTTGTCTCCGTAGTAGTAAAAACAACGCAGCTGACCGCTCAAGTGCATTTCTCAAACAAATTTATGTAAAAAAAACTGCAAAACAGCAAAAAAGTGACTTTAGGTGCAAGTGTTTCAGACAAGAAAATCCTGCCTTCGAGAAAAAGTAACAGATTCTTTCTCCTTGTTACGGTATCACATATAATTTTGCGGTAAAGTTCCAAACAATCCACTAATGGGTTTCCATCCTCGAGTGTGTTGTACAACTAGAAGTGCTTGTTGTCAAAATGAAATGGTTGTAAATATTCCGGTGGTGAGGGCAAACTTCACTTCACTGAGGAGTGGTCACCCTACTGAAGTCCAACTAGTTGTAGTGACGCTCCCGGTTCCGCAAACTCAAAAACGTCCAACTAATGCTGTAACCGGAACATTCGTTCCCTCCCTGGTGTGGTCTTTCTTCAAACGAATCAGTAACCATGTCATGGCCACCGGAACAATCCACAGTGTTTGACCAATCTCCAGCTGAAAGTGTATTCCACTATGTGTTGAGGCAAGTTCATTGTCAATGTACCCAGAAGTAAATGAATAAATAAATAAACTAAATGTATCCATCACACGGAAGTATCACACGACAAGTATACAAACTATGCTAATCAAAAATGATTGAACTGTTCCATTATCTGCAGTTATGTGTGGATGGCAACACCTACAGACACGAATGTGACCTTTGGCGTAATCAGTGCTATTGTCGAACAGGCGATTCTCGGTGCGGTGGAGAAACGTTTAACAATCATCGTGCCAACGACGACGCTGTGATCAAATATTTCGATGAATGTCGAGGTGAGTTTGATATGAGCCCCCTTGCCTTTGCAAAATCGTGAACCTTCGGAGTTGAGTACATTTCGATTCGTCTTGCTTTGCAGATCTAACGGAGATGTGCGACTGGGAACAACAAGAAGATAGTTTCCCCATCAGACTTGGTATTTGGTTTCAGGAGCTTTTGAGACAAAAGGTAAGCGAAAGAATTCGTCGTGGATGATCAAATGCTTCAAATCAAGAAGCAGTTTTCAAGAATATGATCTGCTTTGCCTCAGTCTGTAGACCCACAGGATCACCGCCTTTAGAGATTTGTAGATATGCATCCAGGTTCCGATACAATGCAGTGTATCTATCCCAGGCAAACGTTTACATCTAGACAGTGCTTTATTAGCACCAGATTCTTTCAACCGGACACCTTAGAGTTCTAATAAATATTGAATGTATTCTGCTGAGAAATTCCCGTCCTTCACCACATGACTTATGCATAGTGTCGCTCGAAAAGTCACAAGTAACCACGTGTGGAATTCAGCTACATGAAAGCGTTCTTTCCGGCGCTCTTCCATTAGAGTTGAGTGCACGTCTTACAACAGGGTTCAATTCTAAAAAGCTGTGAGAAGAATTACTTGCGGATCCGATCCTTACCTTTTTCCAAGCATTCACACGATGTACCTTAGAATCAATGACCTTCGGGTGCTTTAAATTTTCACCTACTGATCGGGTATTCATTGTAATTCGATTGGTTGACATCCGTAAGAGAGCATAACTGGGTTTTTTCATTCTTTTCCGTACTTATATAACGGCCGAGTTGATAATTTTAACTGTTCTTTTTGTCAAACAGACCATTGTTTCTTACATAAATGAATGTATTCACATCGTTTAGCCTTATGGGTTTGTTTGGACTCCATTAAAGGGGGGATTGTTTAACAATCGGGATTGCCCCTACCGATAGAGGTAACTGTAGGACAGAAGTCTCTGAGACAGCACCCACACACACAAAAATGTATTTTACTTGATACACTACTCCTAAGGTTGCTAAAAGTTCTTCGACACGACCGGTTTTGCCCTTCTTGGGGCTCATCCGGTAGGCGCAGTCTCCGAATTTCCGTCAAACTTATGTTTTACTTGAACCCAAATTACATAAAATAATCAAGATACACTTATCTGCAAAAAAATTTCGTCTTGTAGAAGACCTAGCTGAAACCCAGCTAAATCTCTCGTTTATGCTGATTTCAAGCAACTGAATGTGCTGCCTCATGCCGCCTCATTTTTCAGTTGGTACGATATTCGAGATATCGCGATACATGTGTGGACGTAATACACTACTCATAAGGTTGCTAAAATTCCTTGACGGCCCTTCTTGGGGCTCATCGGGAGGGCGCAGTTCCAGTTGCTTGAAAACGTCATATATTTAGCTGGATTTCAGCTGAGTCTTCAGCAAAACCATATGTGTTTGCAAATGAATGCATTTTGCTATGTCATCTTTTAGTTCAGCTACTTGTCGGTCACGATAACAATTACGGAGTAGCTGCCGGACCAAGACGACTCGGATTGATTTGAAGCGTGCCCAGTTTTCACATTTAAAATTCCATCTCCATAAATTTCGCTAAAACAGCATGTTTGACAAATCATTAGCCTGAAATTTCACGAATCAATTAAGAAATCAGCTAATAGTTGGTAATTAAAACAGCTAATGAATATCAAAACATACGAGAAAAGGGAAGTCACTTAGTTATCCAGTGCCACCGGCTCCGAGAGACTTTGTTCAATATCCCTTGTCCGCTTCAGTGAAGAACCTCCAGTTTCTAGAATTTTAACCGCAAACTCATAGGACGTTCACGTACACACCTAAATGTGAACTATTTCCAACTGAGGATTTGCATATCCAGGGGTGTTAATCTGTTTTGCCAAATTTTAACGAGTTTTCACCTTTGTCGAATTTTCACCCTATCTGTTTTCAAGCGGCAAGTGTTTCTGATCTGAACTTTTTGCCAGGTAGGTAACCAGCCTTCCATAAACCATAAATTCTAATTCATGAAATTATTGCTCAGTGACGACGGTTCTGATAATGACAGTGTTTCAGGCCAAATGTTGACCTGGCGGTTTCCCTCTATCATAGATATAGTGTTAATTAGACAACAACAGATGTGGTCTCAGCGTGGCCAGTTCTCTCAGGAATGATTCGTTATTCGTCGAAGCAGGTGGCCGTAGGTGTCTAACAGCTCGCGTCAGTCCTATTCCCATAAACTCAAAGTTTCAGGCACCCCTTACTCAAGGGGAAGCATCACATCAAGCACGTGACTTTTTTCGGAGAAAAACAAATCAAATTCTGTTAGATTCTGACGCTTCTACTGATAACTAGACCACCATTGTGCAAATATCGATAGAATCAATGGGTCAATATGAAAGTAGTTGCCTAGATGGATGGTTGAAGCGTAACAAGGTCAAACAACAAACAGCGTCCCAAAAAAGCGATGAAATTTAAACGAATTTTTTAATTACTTGTATTAGTTGTGCTGAATGTCCCTGTTTGTTTCGTAGTGGTCTTCCGGAAGCGATCATCCGGATGATGAGAGTCTTCTTCGTCCAATGGACAGTAAGGCACGCGCAGCCACAAGCAAACTCATGTCACCCAGCACAATGGATCGAGCGGAGAGTGGCGTGATCAGCTACTGGTTCTGTGAATTGGATCGACGAAATAAAGGGTGAGTGCGACTCGAAAGTGCACAATGTTGAAATAGTTCCAGCTGAATACTTAATTTCGAGGGTTTTGCCTGGGCTAGGGGGACATCGCGGTTCCTCCCTGATCAACAGATTTGCCTAGCACGCGAAACCGAGGAACCAATGACATTGAACTTTGGGAATTAAGTACGATAGCGGAGAAGAAATTTTTTTTAATTTTGTCATCAGATCCTATGAAGCGCTTTAGCCAAAAACTGATGAAACGCGATAGCAAATGAATGAAATATGATCACAGCGTATTTTGCTCCCCGTTCTTGTCCTAATAGCTCTCGTGTTATACTTCTTAAGGTTCAATCTCGTGTAAATTTATCATAAGCCAAAGACCACTTTGCTAGGTGGTCGATATTATAGCAAACGGCGAACCAACAGTAGAGGTATCTCCATAAATTAGTCAGATAACAAAATTGCCTCATTCATGTGACCTTGACATCAAGGTTAGCAACGGTGTGAAATCCGCAGTGAATGAACTTCAATACTAAGCATAAAAATATACCCCTCGCTTATTATTCTTTCAAGAGAAACGTATACATGCGCGGGTTAAAGTCATTCTCATCAGAACATCACTATTGTTTGCTAGAGCATTTTTATGGACAGAAACGCTCCGTAACGCTGTGCTTCCGATATAAAAACCTTCTTCAAGTCGGCACTTCAAAAGAGCTGGGGAAACTGAGTAAAGAGAACCCGAGTAGGGTAAGCAAAACCTAAACGTAGAACGACTAATTTTGGAACAAAACGTGTCGTGTTCCTATACCACGTTCGTCAGTGTTATGCCATGGGAGGGAATATACCCTGATAAATGGCATACTTATTGTGGTGACCTCTCAAGTTGTTTTGTTAAGAATTAATTACAAAGATACACGATAGGATAAGGATTCCTTGGTAAACGACAAGTCTCAGAGCCCTCATTATACAAAATTGGTATGCACGGCCCCAGACATGCAAGGACATTCGTTCAAACTGGGATTTTTCCGGCGAACATAAAGTTATCAATCCCCCCTAAGTTTCCAGACCATTTATTTGTCAGTGAGGCTGTGTCTAAACTTTCAAGCTCCGTAAGAGTTGTCATATCTAGCCACCGTCTGTACGAAATCTACGAAGTGTACAAGTTAACGGCTAGCATGTTCTCTCTTGCTCATCCGGCACAAGGTAGCGCACCACAAGGCGTTCTATCAACCCTCAATTCCATCTGCGCAAAAACTGTCAGACCCGAGCAACAACCACTTAATTTACTGTCGACAGTTCCTTGCCAAAATACCAAAAGAATTTGCAACACAGGTTTGCACAAAAGCTGTACAAGACTTCTAAGAAGTGTTTACAATGTGGAACGAGCCAAACAGAATGTGATTCAGATACAAATGTGATAAAACTGGAAACCCTATCATTTATTTTGGATAGACAAGGTTTTTTGGGCATAGTACTTTGGTATATATTTTGGTATAACCACCTCCATCAGGCAGCCCATTCATCTTACGAATTTGTATTCTGTTCGGAAAGGATCATGAAACCGATGCTGGAAAATCGGAGACCATGGTGTAGCCGATCTATTCGGTATAAAGCAGCTCACCATGCCAGATAAGGGTTAACCCCTTTCTCGTTTGAATTAAGGTCACCTGATAATCAATGACTTGCCGGGAATCCACTAGGGCGAATAGATTGTCTAATGGAATCGTCAATGTTTAATCTGGTCGCGTTGATTTGCCCAATCTTTCCAGGCTCAGAAAGATTTGTTCGTCAACCTGGGCATGTTATGCTATTTCAACTTTAACTGAATGAAGTAAAACAGGAAAATACATCGCGTTGCTGTTAGGCGCGGTCCATTGATTGGTTCTTACCATGTAACACAAACCATTCGGATAAAATTCATGCGCTTTCTTTCCGAGCAACATGCGCGCAGAACGACCATATGGGAGTAGAGTATCCAGCAGGAACAAAAAAACAAGATAAAGCAGTAGACTCACGTCAATCGACTTGCATTATCTAGATGCGGGTGAATAGTACTCAGACGTGAGTCCTGATACAGCAAAACAAGAAAGCTTGTGCTTCTGGGTCAAGCAATGAAGCATGAGGACAAAAAACAAGGTATTTGGCTGCTGCATCAATATCTTGTTGATCTACACAGCAACGAATGTACATCCTGGTCGGTTGGAAGCGTGTACTCTCACAAGACAAAAAGAAGCATGTATATTAACCCAAACAGAGAACTGGTTAGCGTGGTCAGTGGTAACAATGTGAATTACATAAACACATTGCTGTGTTTTCCCTAAACCAGCCCCACTAGCTCTCAACGTAATAATGAACTGGTTGAACGACCACACCAGCTTCCAGAATGACGATCGAGACAACTGGATAGGTATTTCAAGTAAGTCTGTCCGCCTGGTCCTGAAAGTATAGTCAAAGGATTCTAGTTAAAATTTGAGAGGACTGTTGTCTGTAAGTAGCGTTATCTCTTGAGAGCCGTCTTCATCGTGTGCATGCCATCCATGAGACAAATGGAAAGGACTGTTAAGCTCAAACCATCGGCCGATTGTGAGAACTGCACGTGACCTTGATTGCGTTTCACCTGATGGCATAGAAAGTCCTTGGTAAGCCGTTTCCGAGCGTTTGGTTGGAACAGCATAGGCACCACAAACGTCAACGTCAGATTACTGTCAAAGAATCCCAACAAAATCTACTGAGACCATCTCCGGCTTGTGATGTTCCAACTTCTGGTTTCCTTTAACAGTTAGATCCAGGTAGACTAATTTGAACAAAGTTAACTCGTCATCATGGTCAAACAGAGAGACAGGTAAGTTCGAACAACACAAAATTAAACGTTCAAGTTGCCTAAATATCAACCCGAAAATTACAAGGATGTGATACGTGCGACAAAATGGAGGGCAGAATTTTCGATTGTCTGGAGACATGTCCAGAACCTGGATAATCAGGATTGATCGACTTATCGTGACACATGACTATTCAAATCAATGTTGAGCTGCCCAGGCCATGAGAAGCCAAGTGCTTAAAGCAGGCGTTTATAAATGCGAGATACAAATCTTTGAATACTAATGACAACGGCTCCCGCGATGTTAAACGTTCTAATTCGCTTCCGTATGGTGACTTCAGACTGGAACATCGAATGCGATTGCACAGACAACTGGCTAACCCGTGTCTACGAATTATGCGAGTGTTGATTTGTGAACAATTTTTCCACCAGCTTTGGTCAGCCGGTAAGGGAATTATTCGGACACGTGTTTAGACACCGTTCTCGTCTTCCGGCTAATGTAGTGAGAATCGGGAGAGCGTGTTAATTGACAAACAAAGCCATTTCAGTTGCTCATAGATGATGACGGTCAGCCACAATCATTCAAGGGTGAAATGCAATACTGCTTGACCGGTTGGCAATTACTTTGTTCACCTAGCTTAGCAATTAGCTTGCAGACGTTTCATCACCCATCGAAGTGGCATCTTCAGTGCGCGTTGACAAAACTTTTCAACCTAATTGACAACTCACTGAAAGTGCTGGATTTATGCACCAATTTACCAGCTCGCGCGTGCAATGCGCAGCTACTTACCCCCCAATCATCGGTGAACGAAACTGTGGCAGCTACAACCAGTGTACGACCAGTACGCGGTTATTACAGCTGATAATGATGAAAATTGCCAGGCTTGACGAACACATCAACGGCCACCTGATCAGCCACCAATGAATGCACCCGGGCTGCAAATAGTCTGGTGCAATTCATACATTGAAATGTGTTTCGAGTCCCCACGTTAATATATAGCTGGCTCAAACACATCTGTAACGCAGCCGTAAGAAGTCCAGCTAACCCGGCATTCACATGAATGGGCAAGTTTGTTGAGGAAAACCGATCAGGATAGCTATCACCTCAAAATGTGTTGAGTAGAAGTTGGCCTTCCCTGAAAGTGTATTCCTTGTGTATTTCCGATGCTCTGTTGAAAGCCTGGGCAATGTACATGTTGCGCGATTCATGTTGAGTTTCCTTATGTTATCACCCAGTGCCTTCACAGTTCGGAATCACTTACACTTGTCTGATTCGAAGTACTTGGCTGGGAGTTGGACACTGCCCAATCCAATGACGCTCACCATCTGAAGTGAGAAAGTCCACCAAAGACGTTGTACTGGATGACATCGGTGATTAGGCCAAATGCATCAGCTAGAATATGTATTAAATCTACACCTGTAAACCTGAATAATAGCCCGACGTTCCACTGCATACGATCATCCAGTGCCAATGTGGGCTTGGTCAGTTTGAACCATAGTTGCACTCAAATTTGCCCCCGCATTCGGTGAGGTTGTAACAAACTTGAACTACTCAAGAGAGTTAAAGGAAATACGTAGAACATTTTATCGATAGTTTTATTGACGGATAGGATATCCTCAGTTCTCTCTCCCTGAAGCGCAAGGTCCAGCAAGAGTAAAAGTTTCCAGGTTTTTGTATGACCCTGGATCAAAGAAAATAATCAATACGCATTCTAACTGGCTACTGCATGACTTTCAGTTTCATTTTCTAAGATATATTGTGGTATGCGATTCATACAGTGGATGATGAAACCGAACATAACAATCAGCTAGGCTCTAAAGAAGAGAATTTGTGTAGATGGGGTGTAATGAAAGCATTACCATAAACGAGTATCTAGTTTCCAAAAATAGCTCACTGATTTAGCTTGCCTACAAAGTCACGGACTAGCCTATCGCTTACTAGACTCAATGCATAAGTGAATAACTACAACAACTACGATGGGTCTCACTGAACAACAGAATTGGATGAAATGGATAATCTCTTCTGCCTGTCTGGTACTAAGTGAAAGTGAGCGTTATTCAGAGTGGGATCACACTGTTCCCTCACGGTTAATCCCGAAAAATATTAAATAATTTGAGGTTACGTGATTTTTTGTGAATAGTGACATTATACACTGTCTAGGTGAAAGTGGTCCACCGCGCTATTCCGTCAACCGTGGACGAGTCGAATACTGAAACTCGTCGGACGCACAATGGCAAAGGAGTGGACAGCTACATTGCTATTCTCGCCAGCTAAGCGCAGAATGACTGAAATATAAGTTTGTCTTACAGATAACGGCAGTGGATCTGAAAAAATCAATAGTTGGAGGTGAATTTTGCATATGTGACCGAACCTTACCTGTTGCTGGAGCAAACATTATCACACGACAATGAAACTTTTCAAATTCATTTTGTTTTAATAGAGTTGTTCCGCTTGGAACAATTAAAACAGGGCTATTAAAGTGGGACAGTGACATCACCAACGCTAGCCCCGTCGATACTACGACAAACAAAACTTTCAAGAGAGATTTTGATAAAAACCAACTATTTTTATGTGGCCCACTCGGTGTTGACTGTAGAGGTCAATCAGAGTTTTTAGTGGTTCCATGTGAAGGGAGCACTCCACCTACTGATCGGGAAGAGAGCTAGCTGGTGTATTTTCACCCATTTTGAAGTGGGCTGGTCCCAGCCTGAGTGTGTGCGTGGCAATTACTACAAACTTGGTTACTGATCTACGGATATTTTTGCTTGACGGCATATGAACTGAATGGGTGAACTTGATTTTCGTTAACGTTAAGTGAAGATTTCATAATTTAGCGAGGTGCTGAACACGCTAACAAGCTACTACGCTGCTAGGCATTAAACTATTTGCCTAATGCCATTTTATTATGAAGGGAATGAAATCGCTGCTCAAAACAACGTGATTTTTTATGCAATAAAGTTGCTTCCAAGGGACTCGGCTAAAGATTAAAAAAACCTTGGTCTACGTATAAAAGCTTATGCGCACTTTGTCAAAGTTTTAATTTGAACTAATCGCCTGCCTCAATTAAACTTATAAATTGCTACCAGAAAGGACAAACAGCCCGATAGTTCATAAGCTTTCAGAGTGGTTCACAAGGTCATTGGCTTATCCCCATCGCCAGCAGCACAACTGTTTCCGCATCAATGTAGTTAAGTGTACCAGATCTGACCAATAAGTCAGTTAATATGTAGAATATGAAAAAGGTAGAAGGCAGCCCAAGTCCGTGTCAACTAAGCTTAACAATATCATCCACTTTCGTAAACAAGTGGCTACTGAGAGCAACGGTATAACGGTATGAACGACCTTCCTTCATCTAACTGAGTAGTTTCATCTGTGATAAACTGCGCTCTAGATTGTTCTAGATCACACTTTCCCAGTGTGTCCACAGGGACCTGTGTGAGTTGATTGCCAAAGCCCGAGACCCGAATTGGTGCTCGAATGAACTTGAGAGAATCTCGTGTATGAGCGTGTTTGGTAAAATGGTTTGGATTTGACCTTCACTAGGTGATTCGTTTGAAAGAGTAAGATTTACGATCGGTCGACTCGTGGACGCTTGCTCCATGGTCTCTTTTTCATCGGTGTAGGTTTCACATTTACATTCGATCCCTCTGTTTTAGAGTGAATGTACTGAATGGAAACGGCTCAGCTCCAATCGGACTTTAGAGCCCTTAGTCACGGTCAGCACTGCAGAATGAGCAAAGGTAACCTGTCTGGACCAAACCACATGGAGGGTAAATAAAAGCTGCCAACATAGAGCCGAGTTCAGTCAAGCAAAAAAGCATTTCTAAAGGGTATCAGGTTGTTCGTTTAAACCGGTGGGGAGTCCGAGGTTAAGAGACATTTATCTGGATATCCGAAAAGGAGTCTACCGAAAGTAATTCTGAACACAAGGCTGAAAAGAGCGAATAAGTACGAGGGCCGTCTAAAGGTATTTAGATTTCTCAGTCTCATCAATTTGAGCATCTGTTAGTAAACGTAATACGCAGGTGCAAAACCGTAAGCCCGTGTCACATTTTTTCCATGATAGGATACCAGTTTTGAATTTCCTCTGAGAGTTCTGCCCAATACTCCATAAGTAAGTTCCAGATCTTCGGAGTCAACCAGAAGGCGTGGTGACACTGAAATATCCCAGCAGTGAATTTCATTTTTAAAGTGAAGATTTCACGATCATTCACTACGACGCATGAATTTCTGTGACGTGTCAGAAGAGGCTCCATATATGTCCTGAGAAACAACCGGTTGTATGCCGATCGGTCCGGTTGACAATTCCTCGAGAGCCTAGTGTGACGTTCAGCTCTTTTCCTTAACTGTTGTTGTTGCTCTCCCCTCGTAGCCCCTTTGTCGCGTCGGGATCTTTTTCACCTCCAATTTACCATAAACAAAAGTGACCGTTATCGCGAAGGAGTCGCGGGAAATGAAAGTCGTGCGTGATTCTGCTTGTCAGAGCACCCAGTTGAATACTATAGGAACAAATGCGGGTATTGCATCAGAAGCCTGTAGTAAACCGGAGCGATGTTGTCCAACCATGTTCCACAAACTTCAGGGCCTGCCAGACAATCTGGGAACGATAGCACATGATAAGTGCTGATCTAACCTACCCGAACAAGATACCAGTAGGTTGAGAAACTAGATGAGACATGAAGGCTAAATTAAAGCAGTCGCCTGATAGGCCGCTGCTAGCTCGAGACCAGATGACTTGAGGTACGTTTCTTGTTGGGATGAACTTTTCTCTAAAAGTAAATTTCCCGCACAGTCCCCCTGTAGTTTTCAGGTTCCCCTAAACAGACTACTTATGACCTCTATTGTGAGGTTTACGGGATATGTATTGTTCATATTCACATCACTCTCGCTTGAACAGTCGTCCTCCTATCCTGGGCTAGTTATTCTGATGAGTTTGTACGTTTGTCTTTGTACGACCATATTAGTAGACGTCCTGAGTTGATTGTTCGTGGCTTGTGGATATGTATGTTCATATTCACATCACTCTCGCTTGAACAGTCGTCCTCCTATCCTGGGCTAGTTATTCTGATGAGTTTGTACGTTTGTCTTTGTACGACCATATTAGTAGACGTCCTGAGTTGATTGTTCGTGGCTTGTTTGGCATGAATGATCTAAGAATTATGCCAGTACTTCGATGTATCTCTTCGTTGCATTTTGATTTTCTCATGGTGACCATGTTGCCCTTGAGTCTTCGTTCACAGTCCGTCCTAAATAAGAAAAAAATAGATTTACTAGGTAAAGCCGCAAGTTCCTCCAATGAAGTAAAGCTGGAGATGTATGCCGATTGCTAGCAGTCTTGATAGATGCTTAGTTGTTGGCCGTTTATGGAAATAAATTACGGAGTTGTGGAGTGACCTTCGTAGAGGTTAGAAATCTTACAAAAATTTGGTCTTGTTGGCCCCTCTTCGAAAGACTGCTATATAGGAAGTTAGACACCAGCTGTCTTTGAACAAAGCCAGGTATCTATTCTCCTCGCTGCTATTTATCGAACCCTTTATCTTTTTTGCATTTCTATAGGAGCCTGGATGAAAGAGACTTGAGTCTGTTGTACCAAGTTCTACTCCCCTCCAATGCGTGTTTAGAAACATTCATGAACCGTTGTGCAAGCTCTGGATCGATCTCCTTCGACCAGTGGCATAACTGCTTTGATGTTCCGCGAGGTGAGTTCGAATAGATGGTGTGTTTCGACTAAAACACGCGTATTAATTTTGTTTTCATGGGAAACTCTTCTAGACCACACCTGAATCTCTCGTTTATGAAGTGAGCTGTCCAGGAGTTTTCGGAAACCTGATGTATGGTGTATTACATCCATCATGTGGCATCAATACGAAAATGTAATGCGGTTTATGACTGGTGAAATCGAAGGGTTCGGTCCAGCTACAGTGACCCATTAGTTTGGATAGTCAAATCCCGCGCTTCTGATTTTTGTGGATGAAATGAAAACGAAAACTTGTCCAACGGGAAGGTGAATTCATCAGCCTGGAGACCTTCTGACCTTTCCCTGTGTTAGGACATTTCTCGCAGGTGGAAACATTTTTACACAGCAAAATTATATTGTATGCTTTTCACCTTCCACTTAATCAAACTAGTTTTCATTTCTTCCTTTCAGAGGAACGAATCGAATGCAGCCGATTCAAGTGAAAGGGCAAACGTGAGGACATCCTAACTTCATGTCAGTCCAACAGTATAGCAATACCATTGATTCACTCACATTCTGTACTCCCTTCATTACACAAATAACCCATTCTGAAAACATTCAGCAGACTTTTTCTCATGTGGAATTTGATATCTGAAGGTAGACAGTAATAACAGTAGACCCACGTGGATTTCGGTAGCATGGCTTGTGTCGGGTCTTTTTAGGTTTCTACTGCAACGATAACCTTGAAGAGGCCTCATGGTTCGAATGGATTTACATGGATTGTGCTAAACTAATCTCCCTGAAAATACGAAGCTATGTTCGACTTACTTAGAAAAAAAGCTTCATCGTAAACCAGTTTAGTTTGTTCATGGATTATAAGTTGAACTGAAACACGTCTGTACATTTGCTGTTGGTGTACTTTCGAGTCTGGTTCTGTTCCCTTAACTAATCCAGACTTGGGTCCCAGTTTGTTCCAATAGCCACTGTAACTATGTCACGGCTGGTGAGTGGACACCTTTGAGACTACATGCTGTCACGTGAATATACTTGGTTTTCAATTATGCACGATCAAATCGAGTTCTTTGGATTACATAAAAAGGGAACCCCTTGGCATAAATCATAAGTCACTTAAAAAAGGCAAATGAAAATGCGAACAGTTTGGTGAATGGAGGAAAATACATTTGAACTAGGGTTTGAATGTCAGAGATTTCAGTTCGGAAACACAAAACAGGTCCAGTGGCACAAGAGTCTGGCTGTTCTGGTATAGAAGGAAGAGCAAGGCAGTTCAGTTCTGCAGCGAGAACCGAAACACTTTGGAGATAACTGGATGGAATACACGTTTGAGAGACTGAGATAGAGGACAAAGGAGGTCAGCTCCTCTGAATATTTCTCATGGTAGTGGAGGTGAAACCAGTCAGGTGAAGCCAACTCCCGACAGTGAGGTTTTTTGCAGGATACCATTCAGCGATACATTGGTTATAAGGCGCAAAAGTTTATGCGGCGCAGGGACAGAGTTACAAAGAAGCACCGCACCTCAAGCATGAGATGTGAGAGTGGATTCACTATGAAAAAATTCCTCCAAGAATTCGGAGGTACCATGAGCTGAGTGGAAAACTGGCTTTCCTAAAGGCAAGGGTAGCGAGAACCCGGGCCACGAAAAATTGGTGGACAACCAGTAATCGATAGAAGTAATGGAGAACTAAAGTGGTAATTGATCCTATTACACGACGAAAACTAGCCGGTAACAGAACAGAAATCGGCATAACACTGTTACAGTTCGGAATCGTCATGCGATCGGTGGCAATGCGTGATCGGTTGTGGCAGAGAATGATATCGACTTACTTTGTCTACAAAGGTGTGACTATCAAAACGGTAGACGAAAGGGTAAGGGGAAACTGCTGATTTTTCAGTGATTCTTGCTTTGAATCCTGAAGAAAAACGCCGTCAGCGTGCGCTTAGAAAGAGCGACGGCTCAGAAAACTTCCAATCGATTTGGAATACAGAACACACAGGAATTTCTAGAAGGGTATGTAACATAAATATTGGCTTAGTATTTTAATCGGAACTGAACGAAGTGGGGTACGTGGACATAGCACTTGGCTGACTTGCATGTAGGCACAACTTCACAACAACCCTTCGACAGTAAACAAACAAAATCGGCCGAAAATCACATTTCCCAGATGGTGTCCTGAGCATCTGTGACCTTCAAAATGTTTAATTTTACTCTTCGGAACGACTAACATTGCAAGGGACTACCATATACAACCACTAGTTAGAAGTTTCAAGCCAAGGTTTGACCATGGTTTACTGCTCTAATTGATTGTAGTATTTGCTACTTTTCCATCTGGCAAATTCAAGTGATTTACCACTAACTTTAAAAAACACTATTCTGGTTGTGTTTTCGCCATGAAACAATTTTTCACTTTTCGCGTTTGTGTTGTAATCTCAGGTGTGTGTATACATTCATCGACGTACTGTCTTAATTGTTATAGGATCAGCAGCCTGTATTTCGAACTGAGTCGTCAAAAGTACCTGTAAAATTTGATAGACTTGTCATTCGGACCTACTAATATAACATGTGTCCACACACTATCAAATAAGTCGCTCACGAGGTCGTAGAGAACAAAAAATCCAACAAGGTACACTTCACATCACCCAAACGAGAAGCCCTATTTGCAGGTTTTGTGTATAATGAAGGAGTACGCTGGAACTGATTCACGACAACCAGTGAAGGGGACATGGCTACCCCAGGGGGCGGACGCTTTAAAGTGCTGTATTTGAGAATTCGTCCGTGAATAAACTGAATCTTAACGATTTTCGTTAACTTACTAGTCAAAAATGTAACAAATTCGCCCTGCGGTAAGTTGAGAACTGATTCCAGACAGATCATAAGCGGAATTCAATGGGACCAGTCGGAATTGGTCTCCACGAAGGGTTGGCTACTTTATGGAAGCAAACTGTAGGGAGAAGTCTACCTATCGGTATCTTAACTTGTATCCCAATGGACAATACCAGTCTGGTGCAAATTTGACAACGCGGAGATACTAAGCTTGTGTTGGAAGAAAATCCTCGAGGATAGTTTGTTATATTTTTTTATGATCAACGACAGTTGACTACTACACAGGGTGTTATGTCTGAGCGTACAACCGCATTACCTTAGTCCCCAGATTGTCACAAGCTTTCATATTTTACCGTTGGCTAGACTCGGTTAGATACACAAAATTAGGGATTGCCACTACAACACAAACGCACTGTGTTTCATCAACTACACAGCAAACAAGGAGATTAAAACAGCCAAGGCTCTCGAGGAAAGGCTAGTTTAAAGGCAGTCACATCATAAAAGGTTGGAAGATGTCTAATCTAACTAACGAGTCCCTTGATGCGCCGACCAGTTGGTCGTCTATAGTCAGAGAAAATGCTCCCAGCTCTTCGATTCCGTACAGCGTTTATCAATGCTCTCAAAGATATCGGTAAATGTAGGCGGTACGGGTTGATCACTTTTTGAAGAAAGTAGCACCTGGATTACTGTTAATCAGTGTGGTTTGAACACTATGTGTTCAAACCGTCCGGTCTTACTGCATTTGTGCCATCGGGACGAATTATCATTCATTTTCCAACTCTGACAACTCAACCTCTTAGTCCGTCATCCTTCGTTTTTCAAAGTGACACAAAGTGATGTTTTGGTGAATTTTAGCGCGACTGGCGCTTCTCGAGGAACCTAAGGGCAGTTAACTCGTTATGTTTCTACAAAAAGAATTATAGACATTCATCAGGCATGAATAAATCAGCGGAGGCTCGTTGTGTCGGTGGCACTGGTCTTTGTTTCATCTGAACCTATGGCTTATTCAATCTTGTCTCATTCAACCAGACGTTTTAATCGACTTCGCCGGATTCATCTGGATGCTCATTTTTGGGTCGATTCTCGGTGTTCATGCGATCTTGTGTTCTGGCAGATGAAACCAGTCTGCCACCTATGTTGTACCTATAAGATGCTAGAACTTTCCATTAGTGTTGCGAGTTACGTCTGTCTGGTGACACAGAACGAATAAACAGTTGGAGTAACCGAAGTTCGGAGGAACGGCTGACTAAAACTGTCGCCTAAGCTGACGAATTTGACCGACTTGATAAACGGAAACTGACTTGGGCAACAGACGATATATAACTGACGACGAGCAGTCATTTGCGGATACAAAGCAGACCGTACTTAGTCCTCAGATGCAGCTTGTCGAGTTCGCAAAGCTAGTAGTTTGTTAACATGCAACAATTTTCCTTCCTGACCGAATGTGCTGACAGAAAAATCTCCCATTCAGACGAACAAAGGAGCATTTACATGGGTATTGTGAACTACGTTGGCTTCGTTTTGTCATCCATTGGTCTGGTTGCGTGGGATGACAATGCGTCTTCCACATCACCATCATATAAAACACATGAATTTAACGTTAACCCAGATTTTGTCCTCTCGGATGGGAATCACACATTGATGTCCAATTAACCAAGAAAGGACTAAACCGTTTGACGGACGTGAACCTGATAGACATCATCCTATACAAATTGGTACAATTGGCCTTTCCTTGTACACAAGTGACACAAACTACTTGCATTAGACGAGCAACTCCAAAGGTTGTCTACAAGTGAAATGAAGAAGGCCCTCGCTGCGGAGTTATTTACTAGGAAATGCCAACTGACCGGTTACAGACCATTGAACAGGGAAGCAAACCTCTAATTTGCATCTTATTCACAAAAACTGGACACCCATCTTCTCCTGAACGCGTCTTCTTGAACTTTCCTGGAGATTCATTGACTCCAATCATTCCTCGGTCATATCCAAGCAAATGTTAAAGTGACTCCACGAGTTCCGCAACAGATCTCCCCTTCTCAAAAGACGCAAAGCGAAATTCCACGAACAACACATACTACTCGCGTGCCTCCCCATCAGTAGTATCACCGTTACACAAGTAGCACTCGTAACTTATAAGGACTGGCTACTAGTGTGGTTACCACTTTGGTGGACATAACTATTGTTAGCAATTCTGTTGTCAACAACAAAAACAAACGAAAAAACACCCGTTTTAGTTGCCATCCATTCGAAATAACCCGAATTAGTCTACTGTACAGTATCGCATCATGTCGACGATAGAAATGCAATTGATAATCTGCGTATCCAAACTTAGGTCTCGCACCGTTTATTTCACCGTATTCCGCTCTCAGTGCATCCTAGTGTTTGTGTGAACATCTTGATTCTCTCCACTCGAATTGAAGATGCCAAAGTGCGCTTGACTAACAAAGCCAACTCAGTTTGGACTTCATCAGAAAGGCCGCATCGGTTCAGACAAACGTGATACAGTCGTCCGATGACATCCCATGAGTTTATTCAATGAGTGTGAACCACTCCAGGGGAAAAACGTGGGTCACTCAATATGCGTAAACGTATATATACATCATGAGTATAACATCATATCCAGAATTGATAAACAGAAAAATTGATGCACTCGTAAGGTAAATACAACACGTGATCCAAGAGAAAAGAGCGGATGAAATAAATTCGTTGTCACGTGAGCTGTAAAGATGTCGCAATAAGATTGGGTTGGGGAGGGCAGTGAGTTTTCTTTGTTGGGAACAAACAAAATAGGACCCGCATCAAGAAAGACTGAGTAGTTTGGGCAAAGAACGAGTAGTATTCAGTCGGCCCGTTCGATTCTTGCCACAACTTTGCCATCCCAAAGCGGCAAAACCGCGTTATCATCAGTAAGTTCTTCATGAACAGCACCAGTCCCAAACTCATCACTTGGCTTTTTAAAGAAATATCTGCAAAAAATGGTCGGTAAATGGAGAGCAGTCAGTAAGGATGAGGCGTACAAATGCAAACGACATTACTGAAATAGTAGCAGTATGTGCCGCGATTGTGAAACACAGACAGACACGTTCAAATATTCCAGTAATTAGGTGGTCTAGCTCAAGGTCCTCCACCACAACGGATCAACCCGTCCAGGTAATTATTAACGAACGGCTCTCTGAAAATTGGTCTGGAGTTAATGTCGAATTAGGGAACATTCCAAACGTCGGCGAAGGATTGTTAAAGTAAGAAAGAACCCCCCAATGGGAGCTTCGGTCGGATGTGCCCCTTAATGTGTCTACTTTTTGTCTGAGGTAGAGTACCGGTGTGAAAAACTATCAGTCACGTGTGTCACATATCGGATAGATATAGTTCGTCTTCTCTGAGCAGACTAGACGGCTGTTGACAGGAGACCCACCTGTATTAAGTCTATGCAATACATTACGATAAGTCGAACGTTGTACCAACTGAAACTTGAGGCGGTCTGGTGCACCACATTCAGTTGCTTAAAAACATCATAAGCGAAAGATTCAGCTGAGTTCAGGTGTGTCATACGTCAAAACCAAATTGGCATGCAAATGAATGATTAAGACAAGTGCTTCTTGTTTATTACGCAACATACAGAGTTGCACGAATAGCTAAAGAATTAAACTTGGTATAACTTCGGCTTTGCAGTAACAGAGCCTAGGGTATTTGCTCAATCAAGCCGCTGACTGGTGGGTCTTGTTGACCGCTGTAAGGTTTACACTCACCAATCAGATACGGCCTTACATGGTGAATCCATTACGGAGACCTGTGGGGTTTCATCGGATCGACACGCAGTCAAAGAGCCGAATCTCTCTCCACCTAACAATCCAAATTGCAACAAGCTCACGTCTGTTAGAAGGGAACCAACAGGGCAGTCATTTTCCAATACGATTTTTGTTAAACATTGCTTCTGATGGGGGAAAGTCGCACGGGGGGATCGCTAAGCTGGGGATGTGCTGATATCGCATAGAATAACCGAGGCAAAAAAAATTTTTAAATGGTTCAGCTGTAACAATCTTCCGGTGCCTAGCTGCCATGCCACTCGAGGAAAGCACGAGGGCTGTGATATTATCAGGTTGCCCAAACCTAGACAGGGAAGTCAAGAGGCAGAGGTCGGGTTCGGTGACGGACCTTCTGGTCAGTAAATTCGCGCTCTTGAGCCATCTCGCCCCCGAGACAACCGGGAAAAGAATGTCAGAAAATCACCTGAAGAAATCTACCTCCTTCCCAACCCAGTGCTGCGAACGTGTCTGTAGGGTAGATCCAACCCTCATTGGAAATTAGATAACCCTGCGTGGTTGCGAGCATAGGTTGTTGGAGGCAATCACCAAACAGCCACAACAATGCACTGAGTACACACACACAAGCACAACCAATTTTTTTCTAGGAAGCTGACCAGAAAGAATGGCGAGCAAGACAGTGCGCATTCCGTGCTCCAGTTGGCTGTTACCGTTCAAAGGGTTATATAGAACAAAAGGAACCAAAATCCCCGTCTGTGGCTAGCATACTCCCAGGCTATGTACACGATGACTTTAATCTAAATTAAGCACGTTCCATTAGACACTAAAGTCATTCGTACAGAACGCGGACACTTGCCACGGTTGCAACAGTATAAAATAGACTGTCAGGCAGTTGAAGAAAGCAGGAGAGTGCGAAAGCATTAGTTCACTTTGAAAAAAACAAAGAGCTTGTGGCAGCATAAAGCCGTGTTTCGAACCGCTGGATTGAGGCATGAGTCTAAAGCGACCGGTACTCATTCGGTCAAGTACCGGATAAAGGTGAACAAATTTCCAGGATAGACTAACTATAACCGCCGTAAACTCATTCGAAACCCATCCTAGGCTTGCTATAACTCGAGGACTTCTTTGGATTGATCGGTAAATAAAAAATAAATCATCATCATCATTATCATCATCATCATCATCATCACCATCATCATCATCATCATCATCATCGACAGCATGACATCAGCATTCAACACTGATGCTTCACTGCCTTACAACCATGACTTATTTGAAAGCCTTATTGTAAAGAAGAGTAAAGGTGGACGGGGAAAGGACTTAGTGCTAGCTTAATACAATCATTCCGAGGTGCCTACACCTCCAGACATTCACTCGGGCAATCTGGATAGAAACTGACAAGAACGCCACTGGCATCGGTTGGCAGCCATATCCTATAGTGTCTCCAACCAGGTACAGTGAGGATCACGCGGTCCCCATCCTG